GTCAATATTGAGGAAAAGATCAAGGTATGAAGCAGTCCTTCTAGTATCAGTAGTATCCTTAATTTCAAGTTCACTGGGATATATGAGATGTAAGTATTGGCTGAAATATGGGTTATTCAATGATAGAACATCATCAATATATCGGAAAGTAAAATTAAAGAATTTCGCAAGGTGCTTTTTCTTTTTGTCTTTTAGAAGGTTCTGAATGAATTCTGCTTCATACGAGTACAAAAACAAATCGGCCAGTAGGGGTGCACAATTAGTTCCCATTGGAATACCGACTGTCTGTTGAAATATAAATCCTCCAAACTCAACAAATATATTGTCGATCAAAAAGTCCAGCATTTTGATAATATCATCTTCAGTATATTTTCTGGTAGATTCAGTGTGGTTTTTCACAAAATATGAATTATTGAAACCCAAAACAAGAAATTTGTATCTATGATTCCCATTTTTATAGAAAAAGCTCTGTTTAATGAGATGGTGAAGTCGATCTTTCAACTGAGCATGGGGAATAGTAGTGTAAAGCGTAGAAAAATCAAAAGTCTTTATGTGATGCAAAATTGCAAAGATTGTGATCGAAGATTAAGCAGTAGATCTTTCGAATTTTTGAGAATCCACATCTGGTTAACACCACTGGTAGAATATATCTCATCACAAGATTTTTGAAGCCCATTTTTAACTGTAGAAAGAATAGTAGTCAGTGCTTTAGAAAGATGTTTAGTGGAACATTTTGATGACCCAGCTATGTATCGTTCTTTATATGGAGTTTTGTGTAGTTTTGGTATCCAGTATAATGATGGTAAATTTTCTTCGTTTTCTTTGATGTTGATACCAAAAGAAAGAAGGACAGATTTGTGATTTTGTAAAATTTCGTCCTTGGTGAATGATGTTAAAGAATATGTAGGGTTACCAGTAGTTCTATTTATTCCAAGCTCTGTTGTGAGACATTGCAAATAATGGTTTTTGCATATTATTGGAGGCTTTATCTGCTGGAACAACGACATATTTGTCATTCAAAGAGGATAAAGCATCAACAACAGATGTATTGATATTCATTTGCATAAAGTCGATTTCTATCCGAGGCACCTCATATCATAAACCATTTAAATAAATTGTACCATGAACAACAAACTTTATCACAAGAACATAGGACGATAAGCAATTAAATTAATATTGTTTAGAAATTTAAATATAAAAATAAAAAAAATGTTATTTAATGATATATTCAAATAAATCATTCTAAAAGAATACAAGGAGATTTGGCTTACGTGCCAATGAAATAAGTATCCACAATTGTCCTACTAACAAAGATATAAGCAACTAAATGTCACCGTGCTGTCTCGAAAAATGCATTATTTTGATAGGCCATTATACAGTTAAAAAAAAACTGTTTACATTTAAAAGTTATCGGGTTACCTCTATAATGCTGAAACTGCTCAACAGGATATTTTTTAGAATGAACAGTTTTTCTTCCATTTATTTATATATTTATGCTTAGATAAAAACATAATCACAGTTTCTGCAAGTAGACGGGTAATTCACAGAAATCATAGCATGCTTATCACATAATGTTTTGGTCAGACATATTACAGTCGTAATAGTTTTCGGAGGCTTTTGTTCAGAAACATGCCATTTGGATCAGCACCAGATTTTGTCAGCTGCTCTTTAAATGCGTCGATATGTTGTCCCATATGCTGAAAGATCGCAAAACAATATTATTTGATTGATTGGTGTTGAACGTCATTTTCAGCAGTTTTGTGTTTTTTCATGGCGGTCATTTTTTATTGATGGAGGAAGTCGTAGTGCCCGGAGAGAGCCATCGACCTTCGGTAGGAAAACTAACAATCCCAGTCAATCAAGATTAATGTTGGAGTCGAGCGCACCTGCCACGTGCGGGGTTTGAACTTACAACCTAAGTGTTGACAGGCCAGTGTTACAGTAGTTCGTCTATTTAGACCAGTCGGCCACCGAGGCCCTTGTAAAACAATAATAATTGTAATTAAATGATTAATTTAGAACTTTCACCTTTCTGAAAAATCCTTTTTTATACGAACGATTAAGTGTTTGCTTCATATGTAGGGGTCAATATTACGTTTATATCCAAGGCCGAGGTAACGTAGACTTAGAAGATGTTAATAAATTACTTATATGGAATGTCTGTTTTCAAGATGGGACTGTACTATATGGGTCTTTCTCATTCTTATACGGTGACCTATAATTGCTTATATATAATTATAATCACGTCATATGAATTTTAGGGGATAGTCGTCTCTTTAGCAATCGTACCACATCGCCTTATTTGTATATTGTGTATACAGGAGTCTATATTTATTACCATTTAAACACACAACTTTGCTTTGGAATACTAGTATATGAGTTTGAATATGAGAAAACCTTTTGACAAACGCTCTCCGTCGGGTGTCCTAGTATTATAAAGGCATAACACTACATGTTAAATATAGTTCGTATGAAATTGACCCCACAGTGTTATATCTAAAAATAAAGAATAATAAAAGTTTGTTCTTCCCTCTGCAGGATTTAAACCATATTACTGGGATATCGTTGTAACATGGTCGAGTATTTATAGGAATTATTGATTGTTTGTCAAGTGCTCTAAAACAAGACGAAGCGCGTCTGTTTTTAAATTGAATGTCAATGTAATTATTTCTTAAAAATTATAAAAAGATCTAAGATAACAAAAAAAGAAGATACACGTTAATGCGTAATTAACTCATAAAAAGTGATTTTATTCTAAAAAGTTACTAATTGAACACTGTAATTAGATGTTTGAATATTGTTTTTATTGGTAAAAATATTGAATTGTTATCAGTAGATTAAAATCAAACTAACTATTATTGATATATACATAATATGTACATCCATAGCTTTACAATCCGTCAATACCTGTATCTTGGCAGTGCACAAGGTTGTGTTTTTTTCTGTCTGTTAGTGACGTATTTACACTAGATCTATCGGATGTTTGATGTGTACTGATTGATATTTTAGTCTTAGATGCATGATCTTTTTATTAGTAATCATTGACTTTGAATTAGCTGTCAGTAACTGCGAATACTCTCAGAGGTGTACTTAATGTCTTTTTTGTTGTGGGGATGTATAGATACCCTGGTACGTCCGGTCTTTGTTTTTGTTAGATATTATATATTGCTTTTTATCCGATGAGTTAAGACCTACCAACTGATTTTTTATAGTTTTTTCTTATGTTGTTTTGTTACATCACTGTCCAGATTAGGGGGAGGGTTAGCGCTGGCAAACCAGTTTAACCCCTGCCACATTCTGTATATACCTGTACCAAGTCAGGAGCCTGCAATTCAGTGGTTGTTGTTTGGTACTGGATATCATATTTGTTTTTCGTTCATTTTTTTGTTTAGAAATCAGGCCGTTTGTTTTCTCGTTTGAACTGTTTAACATTTATTTTGTCATTATGGCCCTTTTATAGCGGTATGGGTTTTGTTCATTGTTGAAGGTCGTACGGTGAAATACATTCGTTAACTTCTATGTCATTTGGTCTGTGGTGGAGAGTTGTCTCATTGGCAATCATACCACATCTTCATATTTTTATATAGAACTTTGTTTTTTATATTTATTTTTTTATTTTTCAAATAATACCCGTGATAAAGGTACATCCACAAATTGGTCGCACGAACAAACTTAATAAAAGAGCTACCTTCCTTTTTTTACAATAATTTTAACATCTATGACGCATTATATTTATTTTTTAAGTTATATTCCGATATTTTTGTGTACTTTTTGAAAAAAGTGGTTTGACAGTTAGCTGTTGCAGCTTCCTCGAACTAACAATTTAGCCGTTGCATGATTTATAAAATACATGCATTTTAGTCATGTGGGAACAAACAACTCATATTTAGAAAATTACATTACATGTATGCTTCATTTTTTTATTGGCTGACTACAATTGAGAGGCATATAATATTATATTTAATTTCCCAATAAAATTTAACATTCATGACAGGACGTGCCTCCCGTCACACCGTCGCTGCAAGGCATTGGAAAACAAACGAAAATTGCATAGTATACAATTATAAGAATTGAAAGCTTCTTTATATAATTTCATAGGGTTGTAAATACGTTGAACGTGCAATATTTTGAGTATGAAGCGATTTGTTTTATATGTGTTTCGTTAAACATGTTAAATGTTTTTTTCATAAATCAGGTCGTTACGTTTTTTCGTTTGCATTGTTTCACATTTTGTCATGCCGGTGTTTTATGTAATTTACAAAATGGTTATAGGTTTGCTCATTGTTGAGGGTGATAATTGCATAAATCCCATGACATTTTGACTATGCTGGATATTTGTCTAATAGGCGATCATATCACAATTCCTTATTCTTAATGTGAATGAATTTCTAGTTATTGGGATTGAAATCCTCCTGTCACTTTGACGTTTGAACAAGAGTCTAAATACAATGACTTATATGTTGATACCTCCAAGGGCACTCGTCCAGGGGCGGATTCAGGCGGGGGCGTGGCGGGCGTGCGCCCCCTCCCCCTAAAATTTGCAAAGCATGGGTTGTCCTCAGCTTAATATAGAATATTTCGATAATTTTACTTCAAAAAATTTTAAGTTTGCACCCCCCTTATCCTAAAATCCTGGATCCGCCCCTGCACTCGTCGAGGCACTTTTTTGCACTATGTACAATAATAAGTGGCTTTTTACGATCTCATGGTCAGCGTAATTATGGCTACGACATATATCTAAGGTCATTGGTAACAAATAAGTTTTAAAGGCCACCAAAAGATGGCTGGCATCCAAAACACTTTCGACTGAACACTTTTTTTTCTTTTTGCATTTTGTTTTAACTTAACTTTGTTAGTCTGATACTTGTCAGAAACATGAGAAAGTCATTGTTATTTTCATGTTATGGCAAGGACATATGTTTGAAAAGAGTTTTTACTTTGCAATCAATATTACAACAATTTTAACAGAATAAACTATATAATCCAAACGACTTTTTTACCTTGTAAATGTGTTCCTCAATACCGGGTAGAAAATCCCACTGCTTAGCTAAATGTGGAACACCATCTAAAGCCATCCATTCTCTTCCTACGTCAATGCAAAACTTTTCCCATCCTTTTGTGTCGACGACACTTATAATTTCTATATACACCACGTGACCAGATCCGCCAAAGGCAGGATTTCCGATAATACCAGGACAAAGAAGAGTGTCACTAAAAATTGAGATAAGATTTATATTTAAATTACAGACACGTGCGAATAAATAAAAATGCAGAGGACATAAAACGCAATTAATCTAAAAAAAAATCGACAACAACATTCTGTTGTACTGTTCAATATGCATGTTTATTCCGGTTATGATTTTTATTTATTACTGCACATTAAATAAAACGTAAGATTGATTAAAACGCTAATGAATCAAAATTCGTTCACGGACTCGTATATGCATCCACATGTAAGCCCAACATCAAATTGCTGTAATAAAACAGTTCAACAAAATATGCAAATTCTAACAAGAACGAGGAAGAGACACCTACGTTATCTCCATGGTGCCGGTTTTGGTATTTGTAATTGACTAAATATAGAATTATTACTGGTGTATGCCACTGCCCGTGTATGTTTCGTCCCGTCATCAACCCTGTTATCAGCATTTTTGTGTTGACATAAAATATCGTTGATATGTTCATTGTTCTGTAAAAGTACTGTTATGAAATGTCGAAATATTCTACCCATAGTTATAGTTTGCCTTATCCCTGTTTTGCATATATTGATTCGAGTGTCACTGTTTAGTCTTATGTAGACGAACGGCGCGACACAAAGTTATAAGTTTGGTATCTTTAATGAGCTCTTTTTTATCAGATTTACCTGTGACCCATCATGCGCATTTCCAGAGCAATGTTCAATGGATACTCATCTTTTTCCTCGTAATGATCTACTTTGTTCACAACTACTTGAATTATCTTCAAGAGTCGATGAAAATCTCCTTTCAAATCGAAGGCAAATTCCATGTCATATACAGGAGCCTTCTCAATGTATTGTCTGAAATTCATAAAAAATCAAACATAAATCTTCTTATATATTAAGAAAAAGAGCATAACAGCACGCTTTGATTTACTTTGAGAATCTATCAATTCCTTGCTATATTCCAATCTTAGTAAAACATAATGTTTGGTTCAAAATCAAATAATATGAAATTGAATTTGATATTCTTTAGTATTTGCCCGTGCATATCTCGATAAACGTTGTTTATAATAAATTGTTACAACATTCTTTAGAAGTAGTTCGCCGTTTCCGAATTCAAAGGTCTATGATTAATTGCATTGGTCGTACATGAAAATGACATTAACATTACACCACTGTTTGGCATTCAATTGATACAGACGTTGTATCCACTTTACGAAACATATATCAGAAGCTATCCAGAAGAGTATTCCTCATTTAATTTACCATTTTGGGATTTATCCGTTTAACTGGATGTTGTTATTATTATCCTCCCCTTCTAAGTTCGACCTCCAACATTGTAACAGGACATATCTGAGGTTATAAACGTACGTCACTAATATAATCTTACCTAAAATGGACAGCATGTGGAAGTTCCTGATACTGGGTACCGCTCGGGTAAATGATGTTCTTTATCCCGCAAAACGTAGACCATGCATACAGTGGAGTCAACGAAGGGTTTCCAGCTATGATCGGTGACATGATTGCCAATGCTTCCCCTGTCAAATAATCTTTGACTTCTTTCCAGTCATAATAGGTTTGAGTTGCCTTTTTGACTTTCTTCGTTTCTTTGTTAATGACACGGATCCAGATGTCATCATTTTTTGGATTATAGTCAAACAGGCTTAGTGAGTTGTAAGGAAACCAAAAAATTTCAATCGACCAGTTTTCCTCAAATAATTTTTGTATATTTTCTGCATTGAAAAATAAATCATCTAAATCCATGTATCGATTTTCTACTTTGACGATAACCTCAGGAATGAGTTTTATTGTCATATCAAATATAACTCCAAAACATCCGAAGTTTGCACTTATCGCCCTCAGCATTTCTTTGTCGTCAGATGTATAGGTGCGCAGTTTTCCGTCACTTCCGATTATGCGCATTTTCACAACGTTGTCACTTGGTGCGTTTGCATCCTGTCCTACCCCCTGTATGTAAAAAATGAATAGATAGATGTATCAAAATTAGGTAACATAGTCATGGGAAAATAACCTGAAACGAAATGACTAGAAAGAAATAACATAATAGGTTTATTCTTTGTAATACAGAAATATACGAAAGGACAGTGTAGTACATTTATCTATTAACCAGTGTCACTGAATCCGTCAGTATAATAGTCACGAAAAATAAACTTGTCTCGCAGTATTGAAACAATTGTGCAGAGCTTCCCGGAATTCAGTTTTTGGATTTTCAAATATTTTGGCCTCGAGCATCACTAAGGAGATATTTATTGTCGAAATGCGCAGCTGGTGCGCAGAACAGTTAATACCGTTAATATTTTTCTAGCCATTTAAAATAAACAAATGATTGAGGTGTGTGATTATTGGCAATGAAACATATATTCACCATTGACAAAAGGACAATGATTCAAACCACTGAAAAAATCTTACGGCCGTAAAAGTTAGCACCGCCCTCAACACATAGTAGTTGTAAATGCCCCAGTTTTGAAACAACATGCGAAACTACCCAATAACGAATATTACATGCCTCATTTAAACAAAATACGAAAACAAATTATAGTAAAAACCATCAAACTACAAGCGCTTTACTAAGTATGGGACAACCAACTACAGAATATGTTGGGGATTATATTGTTTGTGAAGGCTCAGTCTCTTTCTTATCTGTCCTTCCTGCTGTAACAGCAAAAAAAAAAATATAGAATAAATTTTTAAAAAATATTTGCAAATGGCTCTACAAATCCGATGATAACAAAGCTAATACACAACTTACACAACTAACACAACTTACACAAAACAAAGTACTGATCGAAGTTACTGAAAGCAAGTACAAAGCCCAATTTCACCTAACAAATACATCATGTTTTCCTAGACTCAAATATACCAATCAATTAATAACCAACACATTTAGTGTAAAGACGTTATATGCAGTCTGATAAAAGCATGACCTTTAAATATAAGTTTATAATGAACTAGAGACATATAAATACAATGCATGGTAAAATGATAACAAAACTGTACATTTAAAAAGAGTTTAATATATTAATACTGCTATATTTAGATATTGACATTAAAACTCACATGACAACCTGTTGCTACAACACTAACCATCTGAACAACATCTAAAATAACATTAGCAGGAATATGCAATTTGTTTTTTATTTGAAACTTCTTAAAGTCCCCAGTCGTCACTCCAGTCATGATGTCCACTTCACGTTTTTTGCGCTACAATACAATACTCATTTATAGAGGATCATATAATAAAATTTACTAATACAAATAAAAAAAAAGTTGATTTTCATTGTACATACTAAGCTAACCTACAATCACATTGTATAATGTTAAAGTCATATTGTTGTTGAGAAATCATTGTGAATCTCAGTTCTTTAAAAAGACATTCAAAACAAGTATTTTTGCATATGAAAACAATGTTGTTAGAGTATTTGTCTGCTGAAACAATAACAGATTTGTCTTTGAGATACTATAAAGCATTCACAATCTAGGATTTCTTGCAAGGGTTAGAAACCCGTGTGCTCATCATACGTCGTACAATAAAATGCGGTTCTGAATTCATGAGCCAAAGCTTTTATCTTTCAGTCAGTTTTTTTAAATTTTGGTTAATCTACCTCTCCATTCAGCCCTTTTCTCTCATAGTCCTAAACTGCATTCATCATTGTTCCAGATATTGGACTGGGTAATTAGATATATCGGGTCTTTGGCTAACACCTCTTCAGGTTTATCATTGTTCATGAAGCCAACGTCTACAGTAATAGCGTGACCAGATACACCAGATGAACTAGACCAATGGAATGTTTTGAATGTTTGTATCCTTGAGAATTAGGATCTGTTTTACCATCTTGAAAATCATGAATGCAATATGTTTGGTGTAGGTATATTCAAGGAAAGGTGAAGTTCAATCTTTGAAGTGATCAGTGTTGTTTTCTGCATATGTGGTTGGTGTTAATTAAAAACTACAATCTTTTTTATTAAAGAAAATCATATTTCTAGTTTAGGAAAAGCTTCAGTTATAATGTTCTTATCCATTTACCCTTGAATGATTAGGTGTAGTTGACGGCCGATCTCTGATAGTCTACGTTATCTCATTTAGAATTGTTTTCCATTAACCTTTGTATAAAAGCTTGAAATAGTACATGCACATTTTTCCGTTGACTGCAACTTGGTTATATTATCTTTTTTGTATCCTGTTATAGTCCTTTTATTCATACGTTTACTTTTTTTTACAACTTATTGAGACTTGGAACAATTACGAGCTTCACATATTGAACATACACTTTTCTATATTGTCTTAAATAATAATATCAATATAATACTAATTACATGCCCTAAAATTGATGGTGGATGGTTGAATAACGTTAAGTGACAAATCAAATGCATATTCAGGACGAGAGTAAATTTATGCGATATGAGTATGACACCTTCTTTGTCCGGACCCGCTGAACTGGATATTTAATGTGTAAAGTGTAGTTCACAAGATATAAATCCGCACGAAGATTGCGATATGAGTATGACACCTTCTTTGTCCAGACCCGCAGAACCGGATATTTAATGTGCAAAGCGTAGTTCACAAGATATAAATCCGCACGAAGATTGCGATATGATTATGACACCTTCTTTGTCCGGACCCGCTGAACCGGATATTTAATGTGTAAAGTGTAGTTCACAAGATATAAATCGGCACGAACACACAATTAGGATACATTATCCTGACTCCAAGCAGTGCAGACTTTTGTCTTACTCCTTTTTTGTAAATACGCTGTAAATATATATGTTATTCTATGGTTTGACTCGGTTAGAAACCGAGAAAACGACGAATTGCTACTACGAGACCAGCAGAGAGGTGTTGTGTCACGAAACGGATTGCACAATAATATATAAAATTGTTCACTTATGAAATGAAAGTAAATTCACATACAACATTGGACTTATAATGCAACATATATTACCACTTACATTAGATATTCTTATTCTGGAACCATTTTTGTAGTCGCTTTTCATATCTTTAACATAAATAAGCAATTGCTTGCTATCTGCAAAAAGGGGTGCCCAGCTGTGTCCAGTTCCAGCACACCTTACACGCAAACCTTCTTCAGACGCTGCTAAAACTAACTTCTGCAGTTCTTCTTTTGTAGTGGGAGAGGAAGAAATAACTTGAATAGCTTGTGTCTCTCCCCAGTTTTCAAACGTCTCTATCTGTAGAGATGGAGAATGTCCAATTCTCTTTTGCAATTTATATAGTCTATCTTCAATATCGCCCTGAAAACAGATTGTGTATTCCATGCTATAAAAGATAGTTGATTGGTCAGTTGATAGGTAATTTATTGGTAATTTGAAACATTTGGTTTGACATATGTATTACATTTTTTGCCTCTTGTGTTAGTTTTTCGTGATCAACGTCAAGTGATACAAGAGTAAAACAACAGCAGCTTGATATTCATGGTCAGTATGTATGCATAAATCTCAACGTAATCTTTATTTATTGTAATGTTAATGTTTTGTGAAATTAAAATGTTACCACTGATTACTTTTCAGAGACTATTGATTGATATATTCTATATACTTCTTAGCAGAACCGTTTAAGTTTGGTTTATGAAGCTTAGTCTTTTGTTTAACATTATTTCTTTTGTAGACCGTTGTTTGTCTGCGGAAATTTGAAGCTTTTATTCGTGTCTTCTACATATTAGGGTTGCCTTGTGTAAAATGGTTGTTTCCTTTTATTTATTTGCTCTATTTTGAAAAAAAAGTACCTATATGATCAAAACATTTTTTTGTACAGAAATCTACAATAAACCTCATTGGCCACGAATTCCAGCAAAATCAATATTCGGTTCTTTCCATTTAACTTATGCTTTTTTTTTATTTCTATTCTCAGCCGATTTCAAATTTCACGATCCATTTGAGTATGTGTCATGTGGTTCGTTCGAATGTTTTTTTTTTTTCTTTTGTTTTGTTTTTTATAAATGGTTTAGATTCAATAAAAAAACCATACATTAGTTCTAATGATAAAAATAACAATATAATTCACAATGTACTATTCTCATTTTCAAATACATTTATTCTTCTCGCCACCTCTTGAGAAGTTATTGCATTCAATTTAAATATACTCACCTGGTCAGACAAATCTGGATGAATATGTTTCACTTTTGGACTCTTCATCTGGAAGAAAATATAGCATAATTTGAACTGGAAGATTAAAAGTAACGCTACGGGTTACGCGTACAAAATGTAGTGGGAATTGCGAACACTTTAAATAACAACGCCATATTCCCTGTTTTAAATATAATTCGTTTTTCTTACTAAAGTGTAGCATGTACTAATAAACATGTGTACCTTGCTTGCGTTTTATTTCGTAAATTGTTTTTAAGTTTTATGTTTTCAATGTACTTGTTTTAACTTTGATTTAAGGGCTTATGTTTTAGCTAATATATATATCACTTTTTGAAGGTGAATCAAATGGTGTATTGTACGTACTGTCTAAATAGCTAGTCATTAAAATATGATATAATGTCTGTCTTGAAATGTGTGTGTGTGTGTGTGTTGTAAAAAAAATACCTAAGATTCGTAACAAAACTTATAATACCTGTTCATCATACAATGCTTTGCAGTCAACCATGACAATTTGTTGATCTTTACATTTGGCATCTTTTATCCAATCCTTGCCTCTGTCGCCTAGTCCAAGTATGGCTATCTTTTTGTCCCCTAACGCATTTTTCAAACAGCTTTTTAGTTGTTCATTATCACTGGGTCTATCATGTTTGACGACTACAGGTTGAAACTAGACGAAAAGACGAACAACAGTTGTATGTAAAAATGAATTTCAATATGAACTATATATATATATATACATATATATATAAGTCTAGAGATTTGCACAACGATACTAATATAAGATGGTATTATACGAAAATGTTGTTAATAAATCGTGTTGACAAATATTTCGGCTTAACAAATAGCCTTCTTCGGTGTCAATTATTTTAACATACTGATAATATGTATAAAAATAGCTCAATAATACAGGTAAGTTTTGGTCTATTGATTTAATCCAAAATCCTGAACATCATAATGTAAAACAAAACTCAATACTCAAATATACGTGACTGTGTATATTTACAACCCAAAATAAGTGAAAAATAAAACTTAGTATCTTTTATTGATGCCGTTTGGATGATGTACATTTAGTTCCTTTATCCAAAAGCTTTCCCGAACCTGTCGCTGGGCATCACTCCAGTGAATGTTCTGTTCAATCACTAGGATCTTCATGCGGTTAAAGTCATCAAGTGTGTGACCAGACTGTCTGAAATGCTGAGAAACTGGGAGAAGTGGCTTCTTAGAGATATCACTCCTATGGCCATTGAGGCGTTTGTGGAAAGGCTGCTTTGACTCACCAACATATTGGAGGCCACAAACCGAACATTCTAGAATGTAAATAACATTCATACTTTTGCAGTTAACATTGCAAAATATCTTATAGTTATTTTCGGTTGCCTTACTGTGAAAAGTTGATGAGTGATGCATCTGTAGGCAGCATTTGCAGCGTTTTTCATCACACGAACGACATTCCCCAGAAGTACTTCTATTATCAGACACTTCAGCCCGCACCAGCAGGTTACGCAGACTATTGGGTTGCCTAAAAGCTATCATGGGAGGCTCGGGAAAAATCTTGGATAGTTTGGAATTCTTTTCAACTGTTTTCCAATGCTCACGAATGACACCAAAGCTGTTTTTGAGAGATGGGTGGTAAGTAAGAACACATGGAGTCCTTTTATTTTTCTTTTTATATTTGTATTCTAACAGTTTACTCCTTGGAATAGTTTCCGCTTTCTGAAAGCCTTTTTGGATAGTTTTGTGTTTGTAGCCCCTTCTCGTCAAGCGGGTTTCGAGTTGACGTAGTTGTTTTTTAGTTGTTTCTGAGTTGGAACATATTCGCTTGACTCTGAGTGCCTGACTGTACGGGATGCTCTTAGTACAATGAGCAGGATGGCAACTTTTAGGGGACAGATATTGGTGAGTGTCAGTAGGCTTAGAATATAGATCAGTGGATATGATGCCATCTGTGAGCGAGCTTGAGGTATCGAGGATGGTGATTTTGGATTTAGATTTCTCATGAGTAAATTTGATACTTGGATGTATGTTGTTGGCATGAGTGATGAATGTATCTAAATCCTCGTCACTTTTATTCCATTTCATATCCACATCATCTATAAATCTAAACCAGGAAAGCGGTTTTTCGATGGAAGATTCAAGGAGTTGTTTTTCTAATTTGCCCATAAATATGTTGGCATATGATGGAGCCATTTTGGTGCCCATAGCAGTTCCATTAACTTGCAGATAATGGTCTCCATCAAAAATGAAGTTGTTGTTTTTGAGTACCAGCGTGAGCATTTTGACCAGGCATTCAGTAGGTGGATATTTCACTGGTCGGGAATTCCAAACTTCTTTACATGCATCAATGCCATCTGCATGAGGAATATTCGTGTAGAGGGAGGTGACGTCCATAGAGACAAGTGTCGTGTCGGAGGGGAGTGGATTTAAGGCCTGCAATTTTCTAAGATAATCGGTAGTATCTTTGATGTGAGATGGTAAGTCCTCAACATGTTGACGAAGATGGAAGTCAACGAATTCCGATATTTTTTCCGTCGGATGACCGTTCGCTGAAACTATAGGTCTTCCTGGGTTATTGGCCTTATGAATTTTAGGTAAAAGATAAATCTGCCCGGTTTTGGATTTTCTGGTTTCAAATATTCTAGAGTCTTTTCATCGATGAAACCATCGTTGTGCATTTCTACCAAACTATTAGTTATTTCTCTGCTAAAAGATGTTGTAGGATCAGAGTCTAGTTTTTGGTAGAACCTTGCATCGCCAAGTTGTCGTTCAGCCTCTTGAATATAGGCAGATTTATCCATGACAACCACTGCACTGCCTTTGTCTGCAGGTTTAATGACCAAATTAATTTTTATAAAATGTGAATGGTTTCTAGCTTAACCCTTCAACCTCAATTGTAAAGATTACACAGTGGTTTTGAAATGTCTAATACAGATCGTTAACTGATAATGAACCGATTCTACTCTTGTAAAACATTTCGTCATTCTCTATATTTACAACTCAAGTAGTAACTTATGATCAATTAGATACTAATATCATGTTAATACTGTATTACAGCTTACCGCCTGCGACGATGCTCCGCTTCCCATTTATAGTTGCAGTCTAAAATCACAATTTGAATAAATAGTATTTTACGACAAATGACCAAACAGAAAATTGAAGAGAGATCACCGTTTGGCGTACTGTTTAACAATGTCTTTGAAATATTAAAGAAGTTTAATGAATCGTGTTGAATAATAGAAATAAAGTTCTATTGCACATTTTTCACAACGTTTCGGTTGCATTATTTGACATTTTCGATTGTATCCATTCGATGGGTAGCTAGATTTATGGCATAATCGCATGATATAAAATTGCGTTTGTCAGATTTAAGTTTGTAAATTGTGTAAACAACTCCCCATTAGAATGTTGAATGTTTGACTGGTGCGTGTCGGTCCATTTGAAGTTTATGTACTACAATGATATCTTATTTTGGTTTTCCTATCTTTTTGTATCAAGTGTGCTGGATGAAGGCCATCTCGAACACGTGTCGTGTACAGCAAAATTTAATCCGCATAATACATGTAAGTTGCATTTTGTTGTTTTCAGTATCTGAAAAGTTTATTAATAAATCGTTCGAATTTAAAAACAATATAAATACAATTTGATTTAAGATATAAATATGACATAATTCGGTCGGACATCGGTGAGCTTCAAGCTTCTAACATTTACGATAAAACAGCAACACTGCCACACAAGCCTCATTATGAAATATTGTCCTGAAAACCTAAATGTGAGCAACAGCTTTATCGAAAAAAAAAATTGCTTCAAATATCTCAATATGTATAAAATATATGTTTGGGTAAAGATTTTGTTTATAAATTGTTTTACCAAATTATGTGCGTGAAAAGGTACAACATGTGTAGGAAGTCATAATGACTTTACTGCACTCAAGTGTCCAGATTGTATTAATCTGTTGACTCAGTTAATACTTCAATAACGTGAATAAGGAACAGACGGTACGACTATTTGGATATTAAAATATATAAACCATGATTCTCGTGTTTATAGACACAGACACGACGTTTTGGTCGACCAATAGCTGAACGTGGACATCTTGTGCGAATCCAAATTCAGTAAAAACATCAAGGAATAAAACACAAGCGTTTTTTTTTATAGCTCAGACGACTATACCGGTATTTGTTACAGATTTTAGAATTCAGACAAGAAGATATTTTAACCTCAGTTAAGACACAGACATGTCGCAATCATGACCATAAATGTTGTGCATTGTCGATTTCATATTTTTCTTTGGATATTTTCTACTGATTGTGAATTCCGTCAAATGTATTACGTTTCGAAAATGTGCAATACCTGAACAAATATTGAAAAAAGAGGCAGAAGAATCCAAGGGAACAACTAAAGACTGAACAACCCAAACTCCAAAAACGAAATGAGCATCAACAGTCAAAATACATATTTCATTCGAAGAGGATTATTTCAGGAGTACTACAAAAACAATCCCTAATCATTTATTTATATTATTACTTTTTGAGCTTCTATTTGATCGTATGCTCATGAAAAGATTGAACGTTTATGTTGATTATATCTCGACGCGTTTATTATTTCTGTCAATTTGTTCAATCGTAAATGTTGAATTACTTTGATAGATAAAGCCTGCAACATATTTAAAATTACGGTGCAGCTTTAATGTTGTTTTTTGTAAATCGTCTACAGGATGATATACATTTTACATACTGTGTTTATTCAAACTAAATTCCTTCATAAATACAGGTTTAACGTTTAAGGTTTAGCGTGTTTTATAAATAATTCAATGTTGGAATTCAAATATGTTCCCTTTTTTTACTTAACCTAAGTAATATTAGTACTAAAAAGTTAAATCACAAAAATACTGAACTCCGAGGAAAGTCCCTAATCAAATGGCAAAATCAAAAGCACAAACACATCAGACAAATGGACAACAACTGTCATATTCCTGACTTGGTACAGGCATTTTCTTATGTATGTAAAAAATGGTGGATTGAACCTGGTTTTATAGTGCTAAACCTCTCATTTGTATGACAGTCGCATCAAATTCCATTATATTGACAACGATGCGTGAATAAAACAAACAGACATAATAGGTAAAAATGAAAAAAATAGAGTAAAGGGTATTTTACCATCAATCTATCATAGTTACATAAACTAAGATATGAAAAAAACTGAAAACATTCGAGCTAGACCGAGACTTTAAACATAGCAAGCATCTCCTACTATGCATACGTTATCTTAAATTGGCAAAAAAAAAAGTAGTATCATCTGTTTTTGCTCAATACAGATTATAACCAAATGTCACGAAAAGAATGACGTTTTCTCAATTAAATCCTGTCTATTTTTAGAATACATCACAAATAATCAATAGATAGTCTCTCATCCGGAAAATTAATATAAATGTTAGATAATTTTCATTTTAATGCAATGTATTAAAAGTACCTTATCGATCAATAGGTAGTTTTGCATCCGTAAATATTAATGTAACATAAGATTAATTGGTAAATAAAGGCAACAGTAGTATACCGCTGTTAAATAGTCATAATTCGATTAGTCGAAAAAAAATCCGGGTCACAAACTAAAACTGAGGGAAACACTTCAACTGTAAGAGAAAAACAACGGAAAAAAAAAACAAACTGAACTGCAACAAAACCAAACGCCAACATACATAGAAACGACTTTTTGATAACAACTGCATATTTCTGACGTGGTACAGGACATTTTAAGAAAAAATGGTGGGTTGAACATGGTTTGATGGCTAACCAAACCTCCCGCTTATATGGCAATGTCAAATATACCGCTAAAATGACAACACTACGTGACAGGAATACAGTAAAAACAAACGCAAGAACACTCAGCAAAGAGAAATACACAAATAAATAATATAATTGTACATAACAACATGTAAACCGTAGAATAACAACGGACACCTCCTATGAATTTACGTCAGCACACCAGAACACAACAAACGATATATAAACAGCGCGTCACATGAATGGATCCTTGCCACAAAAAGTGACATTTTTTTGTGACATTTATACTACCAGAGGTAAATTTCTTAAAATAAAATAAATGTGTTTCATTTATAGACACGCACAAGAATATTTAATTGGGATTGTGTTTGTAATGTTGTTATTTTATATATTTTCTAACCATGACAAGAATAATAAAATGGAATTGTGTTTGTACTGGTGTTATTATTTATCTTTGTCGGTTTGTCTTTTAAATCAAAACTGTGTATAAACAAAAAAATCCTGACAAATAAGACATATGTGAAATGTACCAAAAAAAACAGAATTTAAACCACAAAAGAATTAAACAGACAACAACTCAGCGCAAAATGACCTATCGGACCCACACGTATAAGAAAGTAACAACAAAATGCACGAAAGCGGGATATATAAATACTGAACCACGTCGTCTCCGACAGCGAACATAAGACATAACAAAATATCTAACTGGACTTACAAAAGAAACAGCATAACTTATTACATGAATGTTGGATATATAAATACCGAGACAAGTCGTATAGCAATGCGAATTCACACTCGAAATGCAATCAACTAAAAATGCAAGGTAAAATAATGTGTACAATCTCGTTAACTTACTGCTTGTCTTGAACCATCTTGTCCTGAATGAGATCAGAGTGGATGTTTTAAGTTAATTCTAGTGACAAAAATTGACCATACTACTCTTTTGACACTGATTTTGTGATTTTGATTGATAGCGTTTTCATGGTCAATCAAATTTATATTGAAATGACATTTGTCTTTTACTATAAGTTTTCTTTTGATATATCATCTATTTATTTTTTTTGGGGGGAGGGGGGGGGGGGGGGCGAACGTAGCAGTGATGACAGTACAAAAATGAATCTAGTTCACATCGGATGTTTTAAAAAAGAGAGGCAGCAAGAGTATACCGAAGATTTAAATTCGTAATTCTATTTTTTAAGGAAAGGAGAAAGATACCAAAGGGACATTCAAACTCATAAGTTTAAAATAAACTGACAACGTCATGGCTAAAAAAGAAAAAGACAAACAGACAAACAATAGTAACCAAAACACAACATAGAAAACTAAAGACTGAGCAACACAAACCCCATCAAAAACTGGGGTGATCTTAGGTGCCCCGGAAGGGTAAGCAGATTATGCTCCATATGTTGCACCTGTCGTGTTGCTCATGTAAGTACAAACCCGGTAATAAGTCTAATTCGGTAGGTCACGTTTGGGGAAAAGGGGACAGGATTGTAGTTACGAGATTTGGAACATATCCGATATCATCTGTGAAACGAATATTCCATAACGATCAAACACCTCGTGATTGCGTCCGTAAAATTTACGAAGGGATAATTTCAACTTATCCACTTGGAACTTTTGGTTTAATAGCTTCCTTATGAGCAGCAAGCTTCCCTTCAAGGAAATCATGATAGGAAATACAAGCCCTGGAATATGGTATCAACTGGGAGATATATACTCCGTGTGCAGGCGCTGCTGGAATGTTGCTACATAGAAATGGAAAGTTCACAATTGGGAAGCTGAAATCATCTCTTTTGTGGTAAAGATTTGTTTTCAACCAACCCTCATTGTCAATGAATGTGCAAGTCAAGGTTAAAAAATGAAGAAATCGCACGAAGTCCATACGTAACGAAACCGGATGTGTCGACAGTGAAAGCATCATTTATCATGCAAATCTAACTACAACTAATATTTTTCGATAACCAATAGAGCACAATCGGTGCATTAACAGATTGGACAACCATTCTGGTATTTATGTAAAAAGAGACCACGAAAACATGTCGCTCGTTGGATACAGTCACGTCGGTTCGGTTTATTTATAATGAGGACCGTTACATGCGTATAGTGTCCATGTTTTCTTCATATACATTTTAAAATAGCCTACGATAAGTCATATTCAATATGCCATCAATTTATTTTAACAAAAAATGATAGAACTTGATATAATGGTTTTTGATTTACTTTTTGATACGTTTTGTTTGATTTCTGCTTAAAATGACTGCTACCATCGGGATACCTCCACATGTAAAACAACTTAGTTTGACAAAATGAAAAATCGCTAACAAAAAAAAAGCATTTTGATCATTGTGGATCATATTGTCTTCGGTTTATTTATTTTTCGAATCATTTTGTTCCTTCAAATGATTAGATTTTGCGTGGCCTTGAGAATGTGTATCTCTAATGTAAAAGCCTGACTACGGGTGCGGGATTTTCTCGCTGTGTTGAAGACCCATTGGTGGCCTTGAGCTGTTTTCTACTCTTTGGTCGGGTAGACACATTCCCCATTTCCATTCTCAATTTTATTGTTGTTACTAAAAACAAACTCTTCTTATATTAAATTTATAATCGATCTTTGAATAGAGAATTATGATTGGTAGTTTATAGTAAATTTAATCCGTGTAATATTCGTTTTAACACGGTTGATTCCTCGTCAATATTGAATAATAGGACCGTTATATTGTAATTTGTCATCTTTCATTATATCTGTGAGTTTGACTGTCCCTCTGGTATCTTTCGTTCCTCTTTAATAAACTTCGAGAAGACCTTCCGGAGCACCTGAGATCACCCCCAGCTTTTGGTGGGGTTCGTGTTGCTTAGTCTTTAGTTTTCTATGTTGTGTCATCTGTACTATTATTTGTTTGTCTTTTTATTTTTGGCCATGGCGTTGTCAGTTTGTTTTCGATCTATGAGTTTGACTGTCCCTCTAGTATCTTTCGTCCCTCTTTTATCTGATTCCAAATCAAATAACATAAACGGTAGCAATTTTACAGCACCAGATGCACATTTCTACAATTAATATAACCTAGTGCTGTTCGAGGCCTAAATATTTGAAAATCCAAAAAACGTAAAACAAACGTTGAATAGCTGTTCAAACCAAAAATGGCCTAAAGTATAGCTCAATTAGAACAAGAAATCACAGCTCTGCATGAGGAAGATATATTCCTTTATCTAAACTGATTTTCCAACATTTGCTATCAGCAAATTGCAAACAAAACTATATCCGTGTGTTCATGCCAGTTCCGATGTACTGGCTGCTCGGCTGGTGCTACACTCGGAGACTAATACTCCACCAGCAGAGGCATCGACCAAGTGGGAGAAATAACATCATTCAGTACAAATTTTACTGCACCAAAATAAATACTGTTAAATTATATTTTCGTAGGTCCCAATTTTCTGTGATTGAGAAAAACTTAAATTTTCGTGGTTATTTGATTTCGTAGTTTTATCAGTTTAAAAACCTATAGAAAATTTGAAATTCTTGGAATATTTGAATCCCATGAAATCCACGAAAATTGGTATCTCACGAATAATGATGAATCCATCGCAGTCATTTTGGAGAACAATAGTTTCTTTAACTTTCAGTGTCGAACGTTAGGTATTGCAAACCAAAATGTTCATTGATACTTTATTTCGCACTTAACCCTTTTTAGTTCATTTCGCGGCGGTTTGTTTTACCGATTTTCTAATTTTCTTGATGTATTTATTTAAGGGGATATCAAAGTAATACCAAACAATTCTATTTGGAAATAATATGTTGTCGTCTACTTGTGTATCGTGCGTACAGTTAGTCTGCAAATTATTGGAAGTAGATAAAAACAAAATATAAATGAATTAAAAAAAACAAAAGTCTTTAATACAAACGCCACTTACCAGATTATATGAGTCCAATTAGTTAAAGTCAGGTTTCCATAATTCGGATGATAATGTCCTTATACGAAACACCTGGATACTTATACCCATATTTTTTTTTTAAATATTCACAGTTCATGTATATTTGAACCTGTGAGATACTGCTTTAATAAAACGATTGTCAATTTAAAATCCAGGAACGTGCTGCGTCAAAATGACAACACAAAACAAACATATTTTATTTTCATGTTGTGTCTATGGAAATAACATATATTCAAATGCAATAAACCTTTTTAAATTCAACAAATATTATTAAGTGTAGTTAAATAGATGATATAACGTAAAGTGGGTTTAAAGAGGTGTAAATAAAATGTAAAATGAATTATTTACATTTCCAAGACTCAGCATATTAAATATAATCTAAACATAAGATATTGCGGTATGATTGCTAACGCGACAACTATCCACCTGAGATCAAAGGACAATGGGTCATCGTAGGGCTTTCAAGAGTACCCGAAAACTGACAAACAAACAAAAATGTGTACCAAAACATGGTAAAATCACCTTTCTGCTACTTCGCTGTTTTAATTCTAGATTCTATGAAAATAAACTTATGACTTATTGTTCTTGTCGTTATACAAATTTCTTATGTCACAGAAATTAAGATGTGTTTAATATTTAACCCCTTTTCTTTTTATCAATCTCTTTTCATTGCAGATATACAAGTATTTTCTCATCTGTAAATGCATATCCATGCTTAAATCAAAAATTTTCCTTAAATACAATTTAAATATTGATGAAATACACACGTAATTACCTGTCTATCTGGAACGAAATAATAGTTAATTCTAGAGTTTGTATTACTAGAATTTATCTTAGGTTTTTAATCGTTGTTAGGTTTTTTCGTATTTGCATGCAAACCATTAGAATGACAGAATGTCATTTACTGAGTTCGGGATTGTTATGCCTTTTTCTTAACTTGTAGTTATCTGTTCTAGACGGTTTTTCAATCAAAAAGTAACCAGATATGATTTATAATTTAATGGTACATGTATTATTCCGCAGCAGTGTTCTTCAATGCACAGATGTAGAGAACAAAACATTTAGCAAATATTTCCGCTCAAAACCGATGCTGGGGTTCACCTTGAGGTGATGGAAGTGTTTGCTATATTTTGAATACGCCACTGTTACTTTGGGGATTTTTTGTTTACTTTTAACGTTAAATGTACATGTAGTAATTTTATGTCAGGGATTGATTCGCTACATTCTTTCTTTGTCGCAAATTGACATCGTTTTCTCGTCTTGAACATAGTTAAAACAATGTATGATATTATAATAATTGATGATTCATTTAATTAAAAGACTAAATTGATACTATTAAAGAATTTCAGGAAGCATGATCACTTGATGTCATCATCAGATACAGATGAGTGTTTAAACCTCTTTCAGTGACCTAAGATATATCATGGCGGCCATTTAGTTGTTAGAATTCGGAATACCTAGTGAAAACTATCAACATTTAAACATATGAAAATAGGATGTACACCCCGAAACAATATAAAAATGAACGAAAATAAAAAAGATCAAAAAGTATTTTGTCTTCGTAAAGTTATTTTTAATAAATTCATAACTTTCTGTTTCAAATAACCATGTATACAACTTGCTGTAGTAACTATAAGCGGTAAAAAGTTATTCATTAGATACTTTGATTTCCCTAGTTAAATGAATTATAAATTTTATTGATACGTCAAATCGGTAATAGTCATGTTTCGAATTGATGTAGTTACTAGCGACTGTTTATTAAAAAGTAAAACAACAAAATTACCGTACTCCAAGGAAAATTCAAAACGGAAAGTCCCTTAACAATTGGCAAAATCAAAAGCTCAAACACATCCAACAAATGAAAAACAAATGTCATATTCCTGACTTGGTACCCTGTTTTCTTAAATTGAAAATGCAATACATCTTTCGCTCTATATTTGTTCATAATAATTCAACTGATGACTTATTTACCGACAATGTAAAGTACGCAGCAACCAATTCTTTCTATGCTTTGCTCTAGTGAACACACACACACGATTCTGTTACCTATCATGCTACAAATATTTAGATTTATATCCTTGGCTACCTTTAGAACAATTTAAATTTTACATTTATTTTTACAAATAGAAATATCAACAGCTGCTATTAATAGTCAGTGATCTACTTTATCGAGATAGTTTCCTCATGAGTTCAGCTAAAGAAATTTATTTCATTTCAAAATAGGTAAATTAACATCATATAGACCGCACTTAATTGACGCGCTTCAGAAAGTGCTGTAAATTAATGTCGTCATAAATATGCGCGGATTAGGGTTAAAATAAAGGCAAACTACTTCGTATAGACACGATTAATCCACCATTTTCTATATAAGAAAATTCCTGTACCAAAACAGGAATATGAAAGCTGTTTTCCATTCGTTTGATGTGTAAGAGCTTTTGATTTTGCCAATTGTTATGGAAATTTCCGTTTTGAATTTTCCTTGGAGTTGGGTATCTTTGTTTTTTTTACTTTTTTTCCATGGTTGTCGTTGCGTTCCTGTGCATCATATTTGTCTTTCGATTATTATTTTGTACATAAATCAGGCCGTTAGTTTTTTCTTTTCAATTTACCAACATTTTGGTATGTCGGGGCTATTCTAGCTTACTATGTTATAGTTATTGGCCAAGCAAGTCGGTATATGTCATTTAATCTGCACGCAGCGGGTGACCCTGCTTGACCCGAAGGACGTAGAAGTTCGGGTCAATGGGTCATCCCGACCTCGCAGCTTAAATGGCATATACCGATTTGATTGGTCGATGACTGTTTTAACACATGACGTCATCAATTCACATTTAACATTTTAGAAATATGCCGACGATATTCAATCCTCGGCTTCTGGAAAAGTTTTCTTGTCTGGTAACGAAGGGGAAATACGCATTTAAGTAGTAAAAGGTTTTACTTTTAATTTTTTTTCAATTCAGGTTTTCTCCTAAATTGTTCCAGTATTTGGAGAATTGTGTTTTGATGGCAGATCTTTTATTATTTCTGTTAAATTGATTTACAATTTTTATATAAATTCGTGACGATTTAAATCAAATCAAATAAGTTTTTTTGAGTCGACAAGATAAATCACAATACAACATAAGCTTTGAGTGATCTATTGAACCTTAAAAACGATTTCGAACTTGACATGTTGTTTAGACACCTGTCTATTGTTGAACACTATATGTTGCTCTTTAGATGTGCTAAGTTGGGTTTTTAGTTTGATATTGTTGTATTGGCGTATAACCCACATCTCTTACAGTTTAAGTTTTGTTTGATGTACTTTTAAATCGATGAATGAAAACTCATAAATGAAAGGATTGTTGAGTAAATATTAGTTGTTTTTCTTTCCCTCAAGATTATGCTCAGAAGAACATTAATCGAAGAGAGATGTACTCAAATGTACCTTTATCGTGCAGAGTAAACAAAACAAAAAAAACTTTTCATTTTCAATCTTCAACTCCCTTCTTCCCCCATAATTTTCCATCTGTATTCATTATGAAGACATGCTCAATCTAAACGAAGTCCAGCTGATATTCAAGAAAAATTCAAAACCGAAAGTCCATTTACAATTGGCAAAATCAAAAGCTCAAACGAATGGAAAACAAATGTCATATTCCTGACTAGGTACCCTGTTTTCTTAAATTTCAAATGCAAAACATCTTTCGGTCTATACTTTTCCGTATATGATTCAACTGATGATTTCTTTACTGACAATGTAAAGTACACAGCAATTAATTCTTTCTATACTTTGCTCTAGTGAACACACACACACGATTCTGTTACCTAGCATGCTATAAATATTTAGATTTATATCCTTGGCTACCTTTAGAACAATTTAAAATTTACATATATTTTATACAAATAGAAATATCGACAGCTGCTATTAATAGTCAGTGTTCTACTTTATCGAGATAGGTTATTCATGAGTTCAGCTGAAGAAATTTATTTCATTTCAAAATAGGTACATTAACATATTATGTCCGCACTAAAATGACGCGCTTCAGAAAGTGTTGTAAATTATGAGGCTGACTTCATACAGGAAAGATAAGAAGCTAGCAATATCCTTTAACTTTACGTTCCGCTATATAGATGACGTTCTTTCACTAAATAATACAAAATGTGGTGACTATGTTGAACGAATCTAGCCCATTGAACTAGAGATAAAGGATACTACAGGTACAGTTAAGTATGCCTCATATCTAGACTTACATCTGGAAATTGACAATGAGGGTCGGTTGAAAACAAAACTTTACGAAACAAGAGATGATTTCAGCTTCCCAATTGTGAACTTTCCATTTCTATGTAGCAACATTCCAGCAGCTCCTGCATACGGAGTATATATCTCCCAATTGATACAATATTTCCGGGCTTGTATTTCCTATCATGATTTCCTTGATAGAGGATTGCTGCTCACAAGGAAGCTATTAAACCAAGAGTTCCAAATGGTGAAGTTGAGATCATCCCTTCGTATATTTTACGGACGCCATCACGAGTTAGTTGACCGTTATGGAATAACCGTTTCACAGATGATATCGGATATGTTCCTTATGTCGTAACTACAATACCTTTCCTTTTTCACGAATGTGACCTACAAAATTAGACTATTTACCGGATTTGTAATAACATAAGCAACACGACGGGTGCCACCTGTGAAGCAGGATCTGCTTACCCTTCCGGAGCACCTGAGATCACCCCCAGTTTTTGGTGGGGTTCGTGTTACTAAGTCTTTAGTTTTCTATGTTGTGTCATCTGAACTATTATTTGTCTGTTTGTCTTTTTATTTTTGGCCATGGCCAAAAGTTTTTTTTCGATCTATGAGTTTGACTGTCTCTCTGGTATCTTTCATCCCCCCTTTTTTTAATGTCGTCATTAATGTGCGCGGATTCAGGTTTTAAATAAAGGCAAATTACCTCGGATAGACACGATTAATACGGGAGGGTTTGCTAGCCATTACACCAGGTTCAACCCACCATTTTGTCTTATAATGTCCTGTACCAAGTCAGGAATATGGCAGTTGTTATCAAATAGTTCGTTTCTATATATGTTGGTGTTTTTTTTGTTGCACTTCAATGTTCCTGTTGTTCTTTTGTTTTCCTCTTACAGTTGATAATGTTCCCACGGTTTTAGTTTGTAACCCGAAATTGTTATA